AGGAAAAGTGAATCACTTTAGACATAAAATCAAATCAAGAAGCGAAGGAGAGGAAATGTTAAGAGTTGAAGCCAAACATCTGGGTAGTAAATCAAAGAACTATGATAAGATACAAATGACGAAAAAGGATTGTGCAAATACCTGCGATTCTGAAACCAAACTTTGATCTGCTTAGGCTCTATGTTGGAAAGAATTGGGCACTCCCGGACGAGCTGCTGCCGTCGAAGAGAACTTGGTTTCGGGCACTCAGCATAGACTCGCTCAAGAGCTTCCACCTGCTCTGATGTGTATCGAACGTACTTCCCAGTACTGTCGAGATGCCTGGTTATGCTCCCACTACTACTCTCCCTGTGCTGAGCTATAGCCATGGCCATTTCGTCTATAACCCGCAACGCAGATTCTAATATCCCAAGCTAAAATCGCTGAGAAACCCAATACAGAAACCGAAAGAGCTTGATGGATTCGATTTCAAAGCTTATGTAGAAGATTTAAAGGCCCAAATTCGAGACCCCAGGAAGTTTTCTTAGCCTTGGACCTCGATAGAGAAGGGAAATGCCAAATGGGGTTGCAAAATGAAGCCCCAGTAGTACAGACACTCGGCTAAAAATTCAAAACAGTACCCCTTTTCCTCTGGTTCTGGAAATCAAAGCTAATTCGTTCAACTGAAAGCTCTTGAGCAGCAAGAAATGGAAAAAGAAACTCGATATCTCATAGTGGAAGTTCAAGTAAAAACTGGGTCGCTGAGCTAAACATCCCCACGCCCCCTTTCGCTATGCGCCACGCATAAACACCATTAGAAAGAAAGAGAAGTATAAGCATTCATGTGGGCATCGAATGCCGTGGCGTTCCAGAGAAACATATAGAAGAAGAGACGGAGAAAAAGACAAAAAAAAAAAAAAAAAAAAAGGGCGAGTGAGAAGCAAGGAAGGAAGGAAGAGGAGCTCGGTGCCCTAATAATGAAGAAGAAAGAAATGTTTGGGCGTGAAGCGAAGTGAGAGAGAAAGGCAAAGAGACGATGATCTGAGCAGAGGACTGTGTGAGAATAAAAGAGAAGAAGAGAAATTGATCTGCACGCATACCGACAAAACTTGCCAGTGGGAGTACCCTTTTTTTTTCTTTTTTTCTTTTTTTTTTTTTTTTTTTTTTTTTTTTTTTTTTTGTTAGATAATATATATTATTAAATAACAATTATTATAATAAGCTGATTTTATTTTTTTATATTATATTGTAAGTGAAGTGATTTCGGCGCATTTACGTCGTTGTCCCTTGTGTGGAGTTGAAATGACGAGTTAGGCCACTAGACGCCGTCATTCTATGGCATTACCCTCGTCTTCTTTTAAAGTAAAAATATATAAATTTATTATTTTCACATCTTCCTAATTTTAAATATAGCTTTTAATAAATTTTCAAATTAGTTATTTGATAAATTTTATGTAATTAAAAGATATATTCATGTAACTATATAATTATATATATCTTGTCGAATTTGAATTTACAGCCAAATTTAAAAAAAAAAAAAAGATTTAGAAAACATTTATAGATTAAAAAGACTAAAGCTAGAACAATCCAGTGATTTTTCTTTTTGGATTTCTTTTCTTTGGAAGACGCGTTTTTAAAACCTTGAGAAGAAGTTCGAAAAAGAAAGTGCAAAGAAGACAATAGTGGTTTTAGGCTATTACAAATGATATCAAAGTCAAACACGGGGCAATGTGCCAGCGGGGACGTTGGGCCTCTAAAGGGTGGATTGTGACATTACATATCGGTTAGAGAAAGAAACGAAGCATTTATTATAAAGGAGTGGAAGTCTAAAAGGAAAATCGAAAGAGAACAATATATGATTATCGATAGGCTTGGCTGTTACAAAAGCTAGTAAAATGATTATGAAACAAAGCATCAACGTGTCACTTTTGGAATATCAATGATCGAAAAAGATAAAATAAAAATAATATTTGAAATGTAATAATTTTATGGATTCAATTAGTTTAATGTTTAAAGAGGATAGGGCCGTAGAAACCTAAGTTTAAGGTATAATCTAATTGGATGAGTAAAAAGTGTGACAACACCACCTTAGACTTTGAGTCCACTTTCAAAATTTCTCCCCTTTTTCTTTTGGGTATTAAATCTTCTAACTTTATCTACAAAATCTCTTAAATTAAAAAGAAAAAGAATAAGAATATTCTGAGGGCGAGTGGCAAAACCGTGAATTCTTGGGAACATCAAGGACAAATCCCTAACACAATAAAGACGAAAATATGCGGAGTTTGAAGGCGGTTTCATAATTCCAGACCAACATTCCTTATATTTTTATTATTGTTATTATTATTTAATTAAAATAAAGGCGAAATTGGTCCACAATCTCAAATCTTCAGTTTTTATTTTATTTTATTTTATTTATATATATATATATTTTTTTAATATGGGAATAAATTAATATGAAATAATGGGTTGCCATGTATTTTTTTTTTTCCACCCCCTACTCTTTTGGCACGCGCAAAAAGTAACCTCACGTGCTCCCCACTTCTCTCAATTAACCTAACCACCTTACTTGACATTGCATTTGTTTACTCTCATCTCCAATCTTAAAAAACTTACCTCTTTCTAATTCGGTCTCATTTAGAATAAGTTGTCAACAAAGAGATGAGGCTAAGTACACAGTGGGAGGTTTGTTTGTAATAAATCGAATATTTTAGAAATATTTAGGAAAAAAATAATGCAGCTTTTGGAAAAATTCAAGTTTTTTTCGGATGAGGTTGTTACTTTGTAAGGAAGGAGTTGGTTGAACAAACTATCTAGATCCTCTTCCCAAAGTAATAGAGAGATCTTTTACTTGTTTCATTTGATTTTGGGATGAACGACTGGTATTGATCTAATAAGTGAAGCTATCGTATGACTATTTGGCTCGGACACCCGAACATTTGTATATACTCCCATAACCATTAACCACACATGCTCACCTTAAATGGAATGACTCTCTAAGTTACTTTCGTTCTAGAGTGATGGAGGGATCGTACCGTTCCAACCTCTTGTTTTCATGTTTTTCCTGGAGATTTGGAGAAAGTTGCAATAAGTAGGATTTTCTTAATCCTTCCTTCTCAAAAGCAAGAACAACAAGAAGCTAGAAAACTCAGTCGTATGGATATGTAAAATAAAGGATTTCTAATCCTACTAATAAAGGGATAGAAATAGATACTCAAATTAAAGTGAGTAAACAGAATTTCATACTCGATCTCGTAGATACCTATAAAATTCTATGGAAAGCAGTATTCAATCCAAGTGTGACTTAAGATTAGAGGTGGGAAGGGGGATTAGGAATTATAGTAATGAAGTAAAATAAATAAAGTGTTTTGAGTAGGGGAAGGGAAAAGGAAAAGCAAGGAGAAAGTCAAATGGGTATATTTTGCTTTACAAAACTTTAGGTTATGGGATTAACATTCTTCCACTTTGTCCCCTCCCCCTTCGCCCCACCCTTATAATCCTTCCTTCATCTTTTGTTCACTTTTCTGTGCTTTTCTGTTTCAACACAAAACTATAATATACGAGAGAGAGAGAGAGAGAGAGGGAGATATGGTGGAGGGTTCCATCTCCTTTTGGGTGAAGCCATTGCTTTTGTCATAGGAAAGGAATAATATTAGTGGAGAATTGGTCCCACTCTTCTAACTTTGCTTCTTTGCCACACTTTTATCACAACACAACTATTGTTTTTTAGAGGCTCTAAAAAGATCAAACTTGGCCAATGCCCCTAATCATATTCCCCATTTCAGGCCTCTGTTGTTTTCACCATATAAAGTAAAAACTCAATGGATAGAGATTGGTGGTTGGGGGAATTGCTCTACCAAATTAAACCATCTTTTATTTCACTCTCCATTCCTCATTTCCCTCTTCTTTTACACACCACACCCTTTACTTTCCTTCCTTCTTAAGCTGAGACTTGATTGATACCTGTTTTCAATCTCCCCACAATTAGCAATAGGATCAAAATCACTTTTGAAAATGTTGTTTTTAGATATTGTTCATCTAAAAGTGTTTCGACGTGTTTTTCAAGTGATTCTTGAGGTGAATTTTCAAGAGTAGAATTTTTAGTCTGTTTGTTTGCTTCCAATATTTTAACCTGAAGAAACCCTACAAAACTCCCATCAATTATGGGTGTTGAAGATTACCATCCTGGGCAATTAGAATGTTTTCAACAATAGTACAAAAACAAAAAAGTAGTTCATGCCAATTCTTTTTCCACCGAATTTGACATGACACTTGACAATTGAAAACCCATTTTGCTGATTCATGTATTGGATCCAAATTTCCCATCGTGGGTCACAGTTATGATTAATCACTTTCTTGTTTTGCATTTTAATACTGATCTTAATGATGAATGTTAATGAGTAATTAAGTTGATTGTTGAAAGTTTTTGGGATTAATATCAGATCAGAACTATGTGTTTTTGCAAATAACTACATAGGATTGCGCTATATCACACTGATCTTCTTTCTTCTAGTTTAGTCCCAGCCATCTTGTCCTTATTTGGGAAGTACGTAGACAAAAAAAAAAGGTAAACTATGGTAATAACAAACTAGAATTAGGTCAATGTTTTAGGCTTCGAATGTTTACAGTTATGATTTGGAGGGTGAAATTATTGTGTTTTATTCCGTCTGGATGAGAAATCCATACTCCCTATCATCCTCTACTTTCAGACAGCTTTCAATGCTTTAGACTAAGACTAAGAATATAATGTAATGATATTTTAATCTTAACCTTATTGCTGGTTGGTTTCATGATTTTGTATCTTTCAATATGTTTTTGTGTTTAAGAATTAAGACCCTTCGTTCCACGTCTTCCTTCCCAATAGAATAGACAGAAAGATGGAGAAGTGATGAAAAAACAATATAAGATTGTAAAAGAAAATACCTGGAAGAGATATGGAGCTCAACCCACTAAATCGTTTTCAACAATTCTAACACTTGCCTTGGCTTTTAGAACCTGCAAAATCAAGGAAACTGAGAAGTTGCGAATGAATGACTTAAATCTTTTGGCAAATGGCAAAATGCGAACGACTTCAGAATTAACATTCTGCTGTGGATACTCACTCGTCTATCTTAAGGCTAACTATTTGGTCATATATGGCAAACACAAAACTGTCGAGACATTACAAAGGAGACTAAAACAGAACATTAATCTAATAACATTAGATGATTTGAGATTATCACATCATATGGTAAAAATGACAATCTATTGGATTATGGGCTGTTTCAGATTTTTAACTGTTTTGGTTTCTTCATCCAAATTGATTGCTTTTGTGTTCTGAGTTTCTGGTACTTGATTAGGAGGCACCGTGAGCGAGACTGGGGTGGAAGCAACTGAATGATCTGCTATCAGGGAATCGGCAGAATCCTCAGTAGCAATGGTTGGAGGATCTTGTTTAGGGACAGTGGGAGACTCTCCTTTGGGAAGAGCAGAGAGTTCCTTTCTTGACAATGGTGGAGGAGCAGCAAAAACTGGAATGGCTTGTCTAATAGAGACAGGAGGGGCAATTCGAATGGGTTGGGAAGGTCGTATCTGGGAGGGAGCCTTCAGGGGTTGTGGGCATGGTGATGCAGAGTAAACAGGCACAGCAGTTCTTATAGTCACAGGTAGTACAATTCCCCGACAAGGCATCCTATATTGTTGAATCGGGACATAAGGAACTGCTCCAGGTGCCGGGAACTTTTGCGGATGACTCCCACAGGCTGTAAGAGGATGTGATGGTAACGTAGTGCTGTTGTTTTTTGTTGGTGGTAGTCTGCTTCGAGGAACTGGTTTTTGGCAAATGAAAGGGAGAATTTTCGATGTGGTTGCAGGGGGAGGATGCTGACTGGTTGCTCTTGGAGTCTGAAATGAAAGTTTCTTTGGGAATGGCATTGGGCCATTTGAGTTAGTCCTGAACGTTTTCTCTTTTAAACAATAGTTTGATAGTGCCCGAGCTATCATAACTTGCTCGGGCTCGTCGCTGCTTTCAACTGCTGATGAACTTGCCGCTTCTTTTGCCACTGGATAGAGGAAACATACGACAAATCATCCACATGTTTAATGACAGACAATCAATATATTAATGAGAATCCAATGCCAAATTCTTCTTCCAAAGATGATCAAGATCCATGTAATATCCAAATTAAAGCACACTAAGTTCATTAAATAAGAATCTTAAAGACTTCTGAGAAAAAATGAATCAGGGGGATGAGGGCTGTCATAGAAAATGGCAATGTATAACATTTTCTGCTAGCTACATGGATCTTCTACGATGGTTTTAAATTTTCAGGAAGAAAAATTCAAAAAACAAACTCACGTTGTTTTAAAGATGACCAAGCTGCCAAGGCTGCATTCTTCTCTGCCTGTTTCTTATTTTTGGCAGGTTCCCCGATGAACGGGATTCCAGCCAATTCTATAGACCCCGTAAAAACAGGCAAATGTCCAAGTCCTGACCTGACTGTTGTATATTGTGGCAACGGAGCCCCGACTCTCTGGGCAATTTCCTGCAAGAGGTTCTTGTAAACCCCTGTTTCGTCCTGATCATAATGATATTACTTAGTCACTAAACCAAAAGGCCTGTGTTCACATATGAATAAATTCAGATAACAAGACAGAAACTATGTTAGGAATTACGACTCTCCACAATGATATGATATTGTCTACTTTGATCATAAGCTCTCATGGCTTTATTTTTTGGTTTTCCAAAAGAACTCATACCAATGAAGATATTTCTTACGGATAAACCCATGATCATTCCTTAAATTAGCCAATGTGGACTCCTTCCCAGCCATCCTCAACAAACAATGCAGAATTGACATCATAGAACGATAAACTTCAACAGCCATCAACTTGAGCAGATCATACAGAGGCTTTCAGGGACGTATAAAGAAAAAGCTAATAGGACAAGTTAAAACATAAATTCTTAATTACCTTCCTCTCGAGATTTCAGTAATTTAAAGCTACAAAGCTAAAATTTCGGCCACTGAATACACTGCATCAAGCAAATTTAATATTACCAACCATCCCCATAGAAAATCCCGCACGCAACTGGTCCCGTAGTGATATTGATAACGACAAAACAAACCCAGGTAGCCATCAATGTTGAGGGCTTCCGTCAGTAACTTTCCTAAAATATACTCTGTTTCTTGAATTTAAAGTCTACAGTAGTCGGCTTCGTCAGAAAAAAACAACTGCGTTAGGAATCCGCTCAGCCATTAGAGGAAAGAAGGGGGGGGGGGAGGTAAGGGTGTTTATGTAATTTCGCATCATGAAAAAGCCAGGTTATCGTAATCGCCGACTCCACTCCGGCCGATAGAGGTCGCAAGCCGGAACGTTCAGGCGTCACCGCTGCGTACGATGAAGCCGTACTCAATAATCGAAGGAAATCAAACCAACTTACGCTGCACGAAGTATCGAAATTCCAATTCTAGCAGATTTTGATCTGCGATAATAGGTTTAAAGACCGGCAAAGGAAATGAGACATGAAACTCGAACATGGCGCGGAAAAATGTCAAGCGACGCAATCTATTCTAGTTCGTAAAAGTTACTGATCATTGAGAAAAGAAGATCAAGAAGAACAATAAAAGTGAAATCCAACATAAAGTAAAACACAATACTCGCAACAACAACAGGAACTTATTCAGAACAATGAATTAGCAAGAATACGCACCAGGATCCGAGCAGCAAGCGAGTGAGATGGACCGCGATTCGCAAGGGAATTGAGAGCAATCTCAGCCGCCGAGTGCTCAGCCTGCCGGAGAGTAGGACAATGGTTAGGGCTTTCAAAAACCTCGCCATTAAAGTTAACGGAGGCTTTGAACCTCGGAGCATGGTCAGGACCTTCCCTAACAGACGAATAAGAAGGAAGATTAAAGCAACTCCTCTGCGCCAACTCTTGGAGCTGGTTCTTGTACATTTCGCCTCCGATTTCAGCTCCCTTCCCGCCGTCAATCACCTATAGAAACGGTAGGCAGAGGCGGAAGAGGTAAACTGACCGCCTCAGTGGTCGCCGGAGAGTGAAGTAGGACGATGGAGAGGATTTCATCGGCCAGAGAGAGATTGGAGTAAAATTTGGAGCGAAATCGAGTGGGTAATTGATTTGTCATTCGATAAAATAATAATAATAATAATAATAATAATAAATAGTTAAGAGATTGAGAATTTATTGTTGCTCTCAGTCAACTGCATGGGATGTGATCTCTTTCAACTATTTCTTTTTTGTTCAATTTTCATAATTAATTAAAAATAGTTTATTATAATTAATTACGGGCTCTTTCTAGATTTACGAACCTTCTCACTAAAGATTCATGATTAAGTAAACTATAAGCTTAATTGAGTTTTCTTTTAATCTTTTCATTAAAAAAAACAAATTAAATTATTATTTAAAACAATTTCAAATTGACTAAGATTAATTTGAAAGCACCTTGTCTCGATCACCCTTTTTGTCTAAGTGCACTTGACTGCGACAGCCCTCTCGATACCTTATATTCGCTCCGTTATTAGTGGTCGATTTCTCGTTGGGTTGACATTTTTCGAATGTGGAAAGTGTTGGATGACAGTCTCACATCGGTTAATTTAAGGAATGGTCATGAGTTTATAATCATTGTCTTCATTGGTACGAAGTCTTTTGGGAAAGCCCAAAACATAGCCATAAATATTTATGTTCAAAGTGGATAATATCATATTATTGCAGAGAGTCCGGTAACACCTTATTTTGTAACGAGAAGGACATAATTGTCAAAAGAATAAAAGCAGCTCAGGAGATAACTATTTGGGCCAATCTGTGATAGGCCCATAATTCAACTATTTGGGCTTTTGGTCCACATATCCTTCAGGATTTGGGCCTACTGGGCCTCTCTTTTGTTTTGAAAATGAATTAGTAATTAATTGTCAATTTATAAACCACATAACCATAATATAGTTTCAAAGTTATGTAATTAAATAAGAAAAATAAAATAAAATAAAAAAAGGAGAAAAACCCATACTTAGAGGGTGGTGGTGAGTTGGTTGCAGATGAAATTTGCGGCGGCGGCGGCGGCGGCGGCAGTTGCGGGGCTGAAGAATTGCTAGAGTTGTCCGACGGAGATCCTGGAATCCATTTCATTTTGGCGATGGAGATGGCAAAAAAAAATTATTTTCGAATTTTTTTTAATGGGTAGCGTTGGTTCTTTATTGCCACGTTGTCTCCTTTTTCCACGTCATCTACTCAATTAACAAGTCACTAGCCACGTCAACTTTTTCCTTTTATCTACTTCTTATTTATATTATATTTAAAGATATTCACGAAAAGGGTGAGGACTAAAATTTTTCATTTTTGTGGGAATTTTTTCTCTATACATTTAAATATATATATATATATATATTCAAAGTGTTTTATATTTATTAATATAATATCGTAATAAATTCAATAATATTTCATATACTTCTTTAAAATCAAAATTTTCAATATTACAATATATCCGTGAATTTTGTTTATATATATATATAAAAGTAAGACAGAACTGAGTAGGGATGGAACACTGTGAATGTAATCACGATCTCCGATCCCATTTAGCTTAATGAAAGAAATCATTTTGTGACACGTGATACAAGATAAGTGAATTTATCGAGTTAATTTAATAGTATTTTAAAAATTAAAACATAAAAATAATATTTATTAAAAGATTATTTTTATTTTTAGAATATGAGGAAAAATATATATTTTGCTTAATACTACACCCATTAATGAAACATCCATTTCCCAGAATCTCGCCAGCTACGCCAATAGGGCAAACGTGAAAATTAAAATTTAAAAAAAAAAAAAAAAAGTAAACGAAGAAGACGACGCGTCGGAGAAATCCTTCCTTCCCAGTTTTTGTTTTGTTTTACGTGCTAAAACTACATGTCGTAAAATTGTGAGGGTTTATTTCTAAGATATTTCAATCCTGGAACCCAGTTTTTTCCCAAATTGCATTTCGGACCCTACTCAGATCTCTCCCTTTCAACGTCCTCCCAATTCCTTCCTGCACCGAAAACGACGCCGTTCTCGACCTCGCCAAAAACTCGTGAGGCGGTACTCTCATTTCCTCGTCGCCGTCGCTTTCCTCCTCCAAATCCCCCTCGTATTCCAAACTCCGCTCCTCTCTATACTCCTCCTTCAGAATCTTCGACCAATCCGGAATATTCACCGGCAGCGACGACGCTCCACCTCCGCCGCCCTCCCCCCGTTTCGACGAACCTTTCTTCGATATCGACGCCGCCGGAGCTGGAGATTTCCGCCTCTCCGGAGACTCCGAACTACCGGGGTTGAAAATGTCCGATTCGTTGAATTCAAACGACAACTCCGACGTGAACGAGTGCGGGCGGCGGTGGTGGCCGGTGAGAAAACGGTAGTCGGAGCGACCGTAACAGCTTTTTCCGGTCGCCATGAGAATCAACGGCTGTTTTTTTTTTTAAACGAATTTCTCTAATCAAAGACCCAAATCGTTGGGGTTCAGATTACATTTGGTTAAGCACTTTTTATAAAGCCTTTGAGGTGGGGAGAGACAACGGTGGGGCCCACGGGGTTTTCATTACTGATAATGGATAAGGCTTTATTATTTTCACTATTCAGTTGTACGTATGAATTGACCAAAAACTCCCTGCGATTTTCATGCAAATGACACTTTGGATATTTCAATTATCCACTCATAATGCTCAATAAAGGATTCTGTGAATCGCACCCCATGATAATCGGGGAAGGACAGCTCGTCGGTGTCAACCGACATGTAAATGAATGGCGTCGATAACAGCCACGTATGAGGTGGAGATTAAGCCTAGCCTATTGTGTCACGCAACTCGGATGGGCCGGGGGAGGGGTATTTTGGGAAGAGGAAAATGGCTGGAGTCAATTTTTGTCGCGACGTGAGTTGGGTTATTTACTTTCTTTTGAAAGACTTGAGATTTGGATAAAGAGGAAAGTTAAAGCAAGAGGGGGAGATTTTCAATTGGATAATTTTTATTATTTTTTATTTTTTATATTAGGTGGAAGAGGACACGTGGCAATATTCTATTGTAGGCGATGGAAGAAGTATGATTGCACGTGATGTAGGCCCCACGCTTGGATCTCGTGCGTTTGCTTGCCAGCTGGCCTCATTACGCTCTTGTCCTCTCACAAATGACACCCCAAAATATCCCCTCCATTTTTCAATATCTCGTTCTTTCTCGTTATCTCACGATAAAATCATTCCTTTTTAATTTTAATGTCGTCATGGGCTTTACTTTCTCAGGCCTGGCTTAAACGTCAATGTACAGGCCCAACATATTGTTGAATTGGGCCTGGGCCCATTTAGAGCTATACACTATGGACCTTTTCGGTTTCCTGGGCTCTGTTCCCAAGATGTCTTTGAATCACAAGCCCAATAATTTACTTACTGTTTTGGGCCCACACCGTATTAGAAACGAGATGACAATAAACGTGAGATGTGTGATGGTTAGATTTTAGCGATGAGTTAAATTAAACATCTATTTGATCTATTAAATTTTAAATTAGATAATTTAATTCAAACTATTAATTTCTTTTTATTTTCGTCCTTCTCGATCATATTGCCATGAGGTATCCCATTCCTGCCACACCTATTTCATTATTCCTTCTCACAAAATTTCCCTATTTATTCCGTCTCCCACCCAATTTATATGACGGAGAAAAAAACGTTCTTCACTCCCTCCCCATTGCTAATTTAAATGAGGAATTTCATTCGTATTCGTCGGTTTAGGGTATCTTTAATCATCCCTGTTGGATGATGAAAGTCCCACATCGGTTAATTTAGGGAATGGTCATGGGTTTATACTCTAAGAATACACTCTCCATTGGTATGAGGCCTTTTGGGAAGCCCAAAGCAAAGCCATGAGAGCTTATGCTCAAAGTGGACAATATCATACCATTGTGGAGAGTCGTGTTTGTCTAACATGGTATCAGAGCCATGCCCTAAACTTAGCCGTGTCAATAGATTGGCAAATCCGTATCAGAGCCATGCCCTAAACTTAGCCGTGTCAATAGATTGAGGTACGAAGGCAGTTTGTTTGCTAAACAAAGGACTCCAAAAGGAGTCAAGCAGCCTCCTCGAAGGTACGAAGGCAGTAAAAAATGACTAAACAAAGGACTCTATCGAACAACGTCTATCACTACAGCTCGCCATACACTTATGCTTTGCACCCAAGCCATGAAACAGAGAATATAAGATAAGATCCGTCTCGAACAGCTAGATAAATTATTTTCTAAATTTTTTTATACCATTAAAAGTAATGCTCTGATACTATGTTAAGAATAAAAATCTCTCATACCATCTTTGTCACTTTTGTTATATACGTATTAGTATACATCATTTCCGCCTAATTTATTTTTATAAAAAAAAAAAATTATTAGGATATCTCTTATTTTTTAAAATTGCCTTACCAATTTTGTTCCACAATTCTTGGAGCATCAAGTTGTTATTACACACAATGAATGGAAGTGTGCAGAAATTAGTCAAATTTTTAAGATTTAAAATAAAATTAAAAATGAATTTATTATGCCCATTTAATTATTAAAAATTTAATTTGCTAAACTTACCTAACCGACCATGTCTGTCACACTCAATTTCGTCTATTTTTACCACTAAATATTTATATTCAAAATGAATTAATACACGACACGTGTCGCTCTATAGCCCACATATTTTCCGAAAAAGAAAAAAAAAACGGTTGAAAATATTGATTTAATTTGTGGATAAGATTGTTTTAGTTTGTGGAATTTGTTGAGTGGGCGGCTAGGATGCTCCATTTTCCGAATTAAACAATTTCAATATATATTATTTTAAATTAAAGTCGGTTTGTATGATTGAATTTGCCACATATTTGAAGCTTTTTAGGGTTTATTATTATTTAAATATTTTAATCAGTTCTAAAAAAATTATAAAAATAATTAATTTATGTGACGTCTGTCGACAATTACTTCAAACTAAATTAACTTTTTTTAATTACAAAAATTAATCCCTTTAAAAATAGTAGAGGTTCAATTATAATTTTTATTTATTTACTTAATGCGTTTCTATATTTTTTAATGGTCTATTTAATCTCTTTGTTTATAAAATTAAATCACGGTTAAATATTAAAATATTAATACCTCTGGTTGCATGTATAAGGTTTAAAATTATCACGGATACATCGTCCGATGTCTGCCTCTAATACCATTTGTAACAACCAAAGTCCACCGTAGATATTGTTTGCTTTGGTTTATTACGTATCGTCATCAATCTCACCGTTTTAGTCCTTGTTGGCACTCCATCTGCTATCTGGCTCTAATACCATTTGTAACAACTCAAGTCTATCTTTAGTAGATATTGTCCATTTTAGCTCGTTACATATCGTCATAATCCTCGCAATTTTAAAACGCGTTTGTTACAAATAGGTTTCCACACTCTAATCAATGTGGGATCTCACAATACACCTCCTTGGAGGGCTAGAGTCCTCGTTGGCACATCGCTAAATGTTTGGTTCTAATACCCTCTTGTTGCATGTAGACATTGTCCGATTCAACCCCTTACGTATCGCTGTCAGCCTCACTGTTTTTAAATGCGTCTACTCGAGAGAGATGTCCATACCCTTTAAGAATGTCGGATCGAGTGAAAATCACTCTAATTAATTAATAAAAAGCTTTAAATAAGTAATGGAAGGATATAAATTAATATTTCTCTAATTATGTATTTTAATATATAATATTATCATGTATTATATTTATTATATAAATTCACATTAAAACGTGAATATTTTATTTACGTAAAATTTAGTCCAGGCATTAATTTCTTTATAATATCTTCATTATCGTCAACATATAAAATTATTTAAAAAAAAATAGAAAATTTGAAATAAGGTATAGTAGTGGTTGGACTAAATGATTGGTAATTAAAAACATAAGAATTAAACAATTAAAAAAATGGAAAATTGGAAATTAGGTGCACATTCCAGATAAGTTTATCTGGCTAATCGTCACCTAACAATAATTTACGATAAATTAATTAAATTTATATTTGCTGTCATTTCTTTAAACCAGAAAATACAGACAACAAATACCGAATAATAATAATAATAATAATAATAATAAAAGTAATAAAAATTGATACTAATTATTTTTTGGGGAGTTAATAGTAATGTTGGAATGAATAAAATTTTTTAATTTTTTTAATATTTATATGATTATCAAATATTTTATTTTATAATTATGTCATAGCTCATTTAAATATTTATTGGAGTTAGAAATAAAAGTTGTTAAAAGGTAAAATATAAATTAATAAAAAAATAATATGTAACAAAGTAAATAAAATGACAACAAAATGGCGCTAGAATGCCATATTTAATTAGTTATTTATTATTTTTTTTTAAAAAAAGAACAAAAAACAAAACAAAAGAACATATTTAAAAAAACTCCAAATATGTATAATATAAAGCAGAGGGTTTTGTTTGTATGTTTTGCGTTCATGTCCATATTCGTGAGCGTGGGGGGGCGGGGATGATGCGAATTTACCAATTTGCCCCTGAGTGATTAAGACATGCGTAAAACAGCAAAGATCCGTTGGATTGGTTTTGTAAGATAGCTAAATAGCCGTTGAATAATGAAGACTTTTTATTTTTTAAAAGACCGAAAAAAAAAAAAGTAATGTAATTTTGTTTAATAAATTCAAATTTCTATAAAAAAATGCTATTAAAATTATTTGAATGAAATTAAAAAATTAATATAATGGAATTTTAAGACTTTATTGAATAGTTAAAAAATAATAATAAAAAGAAAAAAAAGAAAAGGCGGTAAGGGGTCCATTTCCAATCTTACCCTCACAATAACTCTATCAGGAGTCGTTGAAGGCGGGAAGTGGGGCCCAGTGCAAGCGAAATCAAGCTCATTTGGGCGGTCCATAATTAATCCTATTCTTTCCTTAATTTCATTATCATTATCACATCACTCTCTCACTAAACATTACATTACACATTTAATTATAATTAACTCTCACTAATCATAATTCATACCCATCCCCCGTCTCCTTCCTTCTGGTACTTTCTTCCCTTGTCCTTAAATACCCTTCCCCTCCTCTTCCCATTCTCATCGCCACACTTCCCGATTCATCGCCGATTACNCTATCTGAACCTCTGTTAAGCATGGCGAAGGACGTTGAAGCAGCCGAGCAAGGCGAATTCCACGGCAAGGACTACCAAGACCCACCCCCCGCCCCTCTAATCGACCCCGACGAGCTCACCAAATGGTCCCTTTACCGAGCCGCCATCGCCGAGTTCATCGCTACTCTTCTCTTCCTTTACGTCACCGTTTTGACCGTCATCGGCTACTCCCACCAAAGCGACCCTAACGTCTCCAAAGACCCATGTAACGGCGTCGGAATCCTCGGCATCGCCTGGGCCTTCGGCGGCATGATCTTCATCCTCGTTTACTGCACCGCCGGTATCTCCGGTGGCCACATTAACCCAGCTGTCACTTTCGGCCTCTTCTTGGCTCGTAAGGTGTCCCTCGTTCGGGCTTTGTTGTACATCATTGCTCAATGTGCCGGCGCTATCTGCGGCTGTGGCTTGGTCAAAGCCTTCCAGTCGGCCTACTATGTTAGGTATAACGGCGGCGCTAATATGCTCGCCGACGGTTACAACAAAGGCACTGGTTTGGGAGCTGAAATCATCGGTACATTTGTTCTTGTTTACACTGTCTTCTCCGCCACTGATCCCAAGAGAAACGCTAGAGATTCCCATGTTCCTGTATGTACAACAAACCCACCCCTGTTTTTTAAACCCTCCCCTGTTTTCATCTTCTTCAACTAACCAATACTCTGTTTTCTTCAAGGTCTTGGCGCCACTCCCAATTGGATTTGCAGTGTTCATGGTTCACTTGGCTACAATCCCCATCACTGGAACTGGTATTAACCCAGCAAGAAGCTTCGGAGCTGCTGTCATATTCAACACAGAGAAGGCCTGGGATGATCAAGTAATCCATCAATTTCATTAATTCAAACCTTCTTTCCTCTGTAATCATCAAATAATTAATGGGTTTTTGTTTGTTTCTTGTGTTCTTCAGTGGATTTTCTGGGTTGGGCCATTCATCGGAGCTGCCATTGCTGCCATTTACCACCAGTATGTTCTCAGAGCTGGCGCCATTAAAGCTCTTGGATCCTTCAGAAGCAACGCTTGAAAAAGCATATTCAATTAAGAAGATTGTGTATTGTTTTTGTTCTTGTTCTTGTTCTTGTTTATTATGATTATTAGTGATGGTGGAATTGGATCTCTCAAATTGTCGCTGCCTTCATCCCAGCCTCCCCTGCCTCGCCGGAGTTCATCAAGAACATCAATTATTAGCACTGGAAATTGTACATATTTCCACTCCCACCGTTGTTGCCTTGCCGTCTTTTGTTTTGTGTTTTGTTCTTATCCTTTGTTTTATTAATAAAAGAATCTCCTTTATTATAATTAATATCTCTGTTTAATGCTAATTATAATTAAAGTATTAATTTTGAGCTAAGAGGATTACTTAAAAAATCCCAGCTTTGAAAACGACAGCACATGGATTAGAATCGACGGGAACTTGTGGCGGAGGTCGTAGTGGGTTCTGGAATTCTTATCCATAGCAATTAAATAAATTAAATAATAATAATAATACCCAAAAATTTTATAAAGCTAAGTTTATTATACACTAAATGTGTCACATAATCTTATCTTTAAATAATAATAATACCCAAAAATTTTATAAAGCTAAGTTTATTATACACTAAATGTGTCACATAATCTTATCTTTAAACCGGTTATGATTTCATTTTATTAGTAGGTGAGGTCTAGCTGTTATATTATATGGTTTAATTGAGCTAAGGTAATGACAAAATGGGCAATTTAATTTAAACTAATTTAGTGGTAGAGTTGCCTTTTAGAGGACCTACCAACTACCTTTAAACTTTATATTTGGCATGATGATTGTATTATTATTTTGTGACAGCGATTCAAATATTCCTTTTTTTTTTTTTTTTTCTCGAGTATTTATTGACCTTCGTGTTTTCTTTTCTAGAATTATCTGGAGTCGTTGTCACTTACATGAAAAAAAAAAAGGCGTTTGTTTTGTAGGCAGGCACTAGAGATGAGGGTAATATTGTAAAATCAATATCCATATTCGACGACAGTTGCAGTGTTTCGTGTGAAGGATGGGTATGTAAATGAATCGAGACAGTACTTGAGTGAGAGTAATCTCGAGTATATAAAGTTTTTGTTAAATAATTAAAGTCAAAGTAGATAAGGTGAATGTAATTGCTCAAGTCCACCCTTAGCAAATATTGTCTTTTTGGGCTTTCCTTTTGTACTTTTCTTCAAGATTTTAAAATTGTGAGGCTGATAACTATATGTAACAATCCCACAGTGTGTTTGGAATGCTACAAATGGTATCAGAGTCAATCACTAGACAATGTGAGACACTAGTCGAAGTAGGGCTATACCCTCCCCCTAATAGACGCGTTTTAAAAATCGTGAGATTGACGACGATATGTAACGGGTTAAAGCGGACAATATCTACTAGGGCTAAATCTGTGTTGGTATTAATAACTATGCTTTTAGAGAATGTCGAGGTAATTAGACTCATTTAGGTGTATATTATACCTAATAAGAAATTATAAATTATACCTAATAAGAAAGAACCAAAGTCGCAACTTTTAGGGATGGCCCTAGCGGTTAGTGGCTAGTAGTGCCCTCCAATCTTACAAGATGCCCTAAAGATTCACGTGGATGGGACATTGCTAGGTCACTCCTCGACGGTCCAGTTGGATCAACTGTTTTTGCCAGCTCACCTGTGGGGCCCCTCTTGTCTCAGATAGGATTACATTTTCTTCTGCCCTTTTTGGGAAATTATCGTGCCAGTTCATTCACAATGCTCCACCATATTAGTAATATATATTCAAGATTGTACTTATATATTTTTTTTTCATTATATAATTTAAAAAAAAAAACTTAAAATTGCCATCTACATTAATTTATTTTATTCCAGTATATAAATTCTAAAAATATGTTAACGAGCAATCTTGAGAATATAATAATTAAAAAATACTTAAAATAATTGAAAGTCACGGTGTATAATTTAAAAAATTTTAAATTATTTTTTAAAATTATATAAAATTACAAAATGATAGAAGTTTTAGACACTATGTATTCAGGCCCACGTGAATTGGGTTGACCAGTCTTACTGGATCAAATGAGCCGGCCCATAAAAAAAGCCCAAACATCAAATGCAAAGTGTAATATTTTAAAATTTAAAATAAAAAAAATGTATTTATAATTTTACTAAATAATAATAATAATAATAAAGAGAGTAATTACTAATTTCCACCGCTAGGAGTCAATTATATTTCAACCGGCGCGGATCCAGTGGTCCTATCACTATAAATTTTGTTTTTTTTTTCAAAAAAACAGTTGTACGTGGCGTTCTATCATTGGCTCATTTGTATCTTTTCCGCCTTCTTCTTCAACCGCTTTATATACTGCTGCTTGGCTCTTTTCCGCCTTCTTCTGACGCACATTCCCTCTTTTTTGATTCTCAAATCTCTGAGATTCTTCTGAAAATGGCGAAATTCATTGCTTTCTGTTGTTGTCTTCTTTTGATGAACGTCGCTTTCTCTTTGGAACAAACGGAGGAAGTTCCGCCATCTTCACCCCCTGAATCTGCTGTAAGTTTTCCTCCACTGTCCTCTCCTATTCCATTTCCTCACGTTCCGGCGAGTTCACCGGTGGAATCGCCTTTGCACTCTCCTCCTGCGCCTCCGCCCTCAGATCTCGTTCCCAGTCCATCTCCTGCGCGTGTTCCTTCTCCGTCACCGAATCTGGCCCCAACGCCAGCGGCCGATAGCGATTTCCGTAACAGCATTTCTAATAACGGTGGAGTAGAGTCAGAATCCTCCAAAGGAGGGATGAATGGAGGAAAGAAGGCTGGAATTGCAGTTGGAGTGATTGCCGCAGCTTGTTTCGTTGGAATAGGAGGAATCGTGTACAAGAAGCGCCAAGACAACATTCGTCGATCTCAGTACGGGAACGCTGCTAGATCTTCGTTCTTATGAGTTACGAGGAACTGAATGTCGATGGTATGGAATTCTTTGTATTAGAAGAGGATAGCATTTCTATTGAGTAAATAGCATTATCATTTTATTTTGATTAACTCATTGTCCAGGAGGTTGCTAGTAGCACTTCGTTTTATTGACTAATTCTGAATAGCATTGTGTGATTATTCTTTTCATACGATAGTTTGTAGATTCTTGATCATTCAGTCGGCACTGCCGCCTCACTTATCACTTGTTTAATTGCTCAGAAATTTTGGGAATTCTATGCCTGTAGTTTTTACGTAAATTATCAGCGAGGTTTCAATTTTCTCGATCTCCAATCGATTCTAGGAGAACCTGTGATTCAATTCTGCAAACTTCATAGGAACATAATTTCTAGGGTTCATTGTTTACATTTGCTAGCATACATTTATTTTAGCTTAAGAAACATAAATTATTCCCATCGAAAGCGAAATCAACCTCACCACAATGATTAAATCTCAACTTTTTAAAATTAGAGAGACAATCTTGGCACGAACATGGTAAGGTTTAATCAAGAAAAGTATCACGAGAAAGCCACATATTTATGTGGGATGCATTTATGAGAATGCTATAGACCAGATTCACTCTCTGGTTGTGTTGTGTTCCTATTATATCCACAAACTTGATACAAGTTGACAACTTCCAGAACCACGGCATAAAGTCTATACAAGGGAACTATGGTTCAGAAAACTCTCCACCTACAGTCCTTTTACATGTAATGAAAACCATACACAATAGATCAAACAATAACATAACTCATTTTGGCCAACACTGTTTCTTCACACAACTGTGTGATGCTGGCGGGGTATAGCATTGTGCAGTGAACTTATAGCTATAGACGATCGTACCGGTTGTGCTATTCTCTGAGAGTCGAGGTGCTGTTGTGTTGTTGGAAGCCACCATCGTCTTCTCCATCTTAAAAACTCAACAATAATTGAACTTCCACTCATGATGATGCCAAGCCCAGTTAATGTAGCCAGTATGATAGCCAAAACTGCTTGGACACCAACCTGTAAGCCATTCTAAAACTCATCTCCAAGATCTAACCGAAAAGAAGTATTAAATCAAAGCAGTCTAACATAGAGGGGATTGATGAAAACATTATTAGAATTAGTTTTCAGATTGGTTCATACAATAAGTGATGCAGAAGATACCCAATCCCTGCTAACAAAGCTATGCAGTTCAAATTAATGGAAAGTCGATAGCTTGAGCTCTCACCACGGAGTAAAATATGTGCGAGAAGAGAACCACCATAGCAAATTGAACTGTTGCATATACCCATACAAATCTTCTATTCACTACAAACAAAGAAGTTTTTTAGGATTGATTACTAAATAACAGTCTAGAATAGCAACAGATTGTCACAGAAGAATCCCAAAGTGCAGCTATCAGATAGTTCACATAACAATTAAGCCGAGTCAAAAGAGTGAGTGTTTCGGGCTCGTTGAATATCAGTGTAATGTGATATGTTGAGGATTATTGGGAGTGAGTCCCACATTGGTTAATTTAGTGGAAGATCATGGGTTTATAAGTGAGGAATACTATCTCCATTGATATGAGGCCTTTTGGAGAAGCCCAAAACAAAGCCACGAGAGCTTATGCTCAAAGTGGACAATATCATACCATTGTGGAAGCTCGTGATTCCTAACATGGTATCAGAGCCATGCTCTAAACTTAACCATGTCAATAGAATCCTCAAATATCGAAAAAAGAATTGTGAGCCTCGAAGGTGTAGTCAAATGTGACTAAAGTGTCGAACAAAGGGTGTATTTTGTTCGAGGGCTCCAGAGAAAGGAGTCGGGCCTTGATTAAGGGGAGGCTATTCGAGAGCTCTATAAGCCTCAATATAGTGTACTTTGTTCGAGGGGAGGATTGTTGAGGATTATTGGGAGTGAGTCCCACGTTGGTTAATTTAGTGGAAGATCATGGGTTTATAAGTGAGGAATACTATCTCCATTGGTACGAGACCTTTTGGGGAAGCCCAAAGCAAAGCCTTGAGAGCTTATACTCAAAGTGAACAATATCATACCATTGTGGAGAGTCGTGATTCCTAACCTGATAACTAGCGAATACAAATTGAAAAGATGATGCCTTAGCAATATAGAATAGGGCTAGAGCTAACCTACCCATAGTTGAGGAGGTCATTGATGAGAGTAGACCCAAAACGCAAGAAAATGGAAGTGAAATGGCAATTGCACTGGTGCCCATTTTTGCAACCTGCATCTGAACATATTACAGAAGACGTGACAAATGATGGATTTAAACTCAAAACTTCATAGTTGCTACTCTTACCAGTAGTTGCTCAAGAAAGCAGAAGTAGGCTAGTATGCTAACAATCACGAGCACGGGAAACTCCTGCCAGACCCTGACTTATTCAAAGACATTAGATATTAGTCTTATCTATGGCATGTAAGACATAGAAACGAAGAGTCGACGTTTAGCTCTAGCCCTATTCTATGCTGAATTGGACGAAACTCGGAGCAATGCTGTACTTAACACTTCAAAATCTATAACCACAGATAGTTGCTGACCTATATCCATTAACATTGTCCTGCTGAGTTCTAGCTGCTCCAAACACTTGAGTTCGAATGCTCTGGACCTTTAACAAAGTTACAGGAAGGTTTTGAACCTCTTTCTTGCAAACGTCGCACGTTTTGTTTCCCTTGATACTAAACCATTTAACTGCACATTCTTGGTGAGCCAGAGCAAGTGCACCTTTGCAGCTACATTCCATCTTTAGAGTCTCACCTCCTTCACACAATTCAACCATGCAGATTCTGCAAACAGCGTCTTCTTCAGAGATGTCTTCACCATTGGAATCTTTATTTTCTGGACCATGAGATTGAAATGAGATTGACATCTTCTAAAATATTGGATTTAAGAGAGTTGTTTACCCTTAAATGTTGACAGAACAAGAGACCGTACATGCTTTTTTTCTTCCCAGCAAAATCATTGGATACTATAGGATCAATGAGTATATAATTACCACCTCTTTCCTGTAACTAAATGGAAACAAAACAGTGTGTGAAGTCTGGCCAGTTTACCTATTTCTACTGTTGTAGAAGTATTCAATGTCAAATCCCCTTCCTTTGGTCGTGGGGTCGACGGAATTACACGAAAAAATGAATCAGTCCTCCTTATGCTTCTTCCCTTGTTATTGGCTGGAAGAGAAAGGGAGCGAGATATCCGTTTCTGAGATCCTCTTCTCTGCACAATAAAATTGCAGTCTTTGTCAGGTACTTGGTAATGCTATATGATAATTCAGCTTCAGTGCTTAATAAAACTCAAATTAGCATGTGTGCTTACTACTGATTCCTGTTCACTCCCCTTGTTGTTTTCATCATGTGTAGATTCTGGATTATAATGAGCTATAGGAGTTACAGGTAGTGATGAAGCTTGCTGCTTCAACCTAGGAGTAAAGATTGTGGCCATGGACAAGGGCTTTGAAGCTTTAGCCTTCTCTTGTTTCCCTGCAGACGAAGAAGCCTCAGAAACGAGGCTAGACATCGCCTCGACGTCCGAGGAACTTCGGTATATGAAGCTAAGTTTAGGAAAGATAGTCTTGATGGATGATTTGCCTCTGGATGAAGAAGATGGCCCTGAAGATATAGCATCTGAAGAAGAGGTTGGTGTTAACATAAAATTCACTTTCCTAGGTGTAGGACTTGATGTTTGAGCTGTTTTTATTGCAACAAAATCCGGTGTCCGAGAAGGTATCTCAAGAACAAGATTCCTTCTCTTCCAATGGTTAACATGAGAGGTTCCCTCCGTTGTCCCAGCCAAGTCCCCGCCCTGAAAAACACCAGACTAGTTACATAGAACATAGAAGAAGATCGAAAACACACAGAAACAGAGAAGAAAATACCTTATGTAGACTATCTGGAACTGTCCCATCACTCATCTTATGTTCTTTGTTGGTAGAGAGTAAAACCAGAACAAGTCTGTGTTCCCTGAAAATCAAGCAAAGAGAGACATGGAGACGGAGGAGGAGGAGACCCTATGCCTTAGCCTTTGGAGGAGGAGATTCGCTGAGTAAATAAGGGAAAGGGAATCGTGAGGATGGGTGGGAATTGTGGCCTACTACCCACTTCCGCCCACCTCCCTTGACACTCCAGACTCAACTAAACCCACCTTTAGAATCCAATTCTCTCAAAGTTAGTAGCTTCAATCTTCCATGGTTGGATGATGGATGATGAAAGTCCCACGTCGATTAGTTTAGGGAATTATCATGAGTTTATAATCAACGAATACTCTCTCCATTGGTATGAGACCAAAGCAAAGCCACGAGAGTTTATGCTCAAAGTGGATAATATCATACAATTGTAGAGAGTCGTGTTTGTCTAATCTGGTATCAGAGCGGAGGCGTACTTTGTTTGAGGGGAGGATTTGAATGATGAAAGTCTCACATCGACTAATACTCTCTCCATTGATATGAGGCCTTTTGAGGAAATACAAAGCAAAGTCATGAGAGCTTATACTCAAAGTAGACAATATCATACCATTGTAGAGAGTCGTGTTCGTCTAACTAGTATAAAAGTTGTTTCCTACCTTACCACTACCTAACCAACCTATGTTTTGAATTTGTGATAGTGACGGAGTGAATTAGTTCATTAATTCTTCTTAGTGGTCTGAAATGAATAAAGTATGAAAAGGGACAGGAAAACCGAACGAATCTCTTTGAGTTGAGACCTCATTATTATTATTATTAAGATCAACTATTTATATTTGCAGCCATTCTTCAAGTGTTATGATTGTGCTGACCTTGTCCAATCAAAGGCACTTCCCATGCTGTCCCCCCTATTGTTTTATATATATATATATATATATGCCTTAGAAAAATGATTGGCTAAATTATATATATATTATATATATATTCTTTTAAATGTTGCGACACTTGCTACCCTGTCATGAATGTTTGAAAATTAAGTAGAAATACTTCAGAATTTCAAAAGAAAATAGAGACAAGTGGGTCACTGCCACGTCATTTTATGTATTAATTTTCGTTTAAAAATACATTTTCCATTTTTTAAAAATTGCATTCTTATATCAGAGAGAGTAACCCTCCTCCGCTCAACATTTTTATATCTATTTATTTAGTTTTGCCCAAAACTCTGTGGCATAAAGAAGACATAGCAGTCTCACATGGTTTATCAGTTTATGAGAAATTGGCATACAAAAGCAAGAATCTTCATACTTTATAGACCTCTTCTTATGCCCCTATTCACAAACGTCCTTCGATGCTTCAATCGTTAAGACCCGTTCGGTCCAAACTTTAGCTTAACCTGCGCTCGAACCGAACCCATTTGTTGCTTAGACTCCACAATCCTAAAATACTCGACTGGTTGTAACAAAGAGGACAGTAACAAGAACGCCAAGAAGCATTTAGAGGAAAATGAGAAATTTAACAAGAATAGAGCCATTTGAATTCCAGAAATAACAGTAATGGATTTATAACCGTCCAAGTCCACCGTCAGTGGATATTATCCTTTTTGAGCTTTTTCCTTTCGAGCTTCCTCTTAAGGGTTTTAAAATGCGTGTGCTAGGGAGAAGTTTCCACACCCTTATAAATGGTGTTTCGTTCTCCTCCCCAACCTCTCAGCCGACGTGGGATCTCACAATTGAGTAACGAGAACGCCCATAAGTGTTTAGAGGAAAAGGACAAATTTAATAAGAACAGAGTCATTTGAATTCCAGAAACAACAGTAAATGGAACAACTTTCACATAAAATGTTCGCCTACAAGAAAGCATAGACACAAAAAATACGACGGGGAGGGGTCGGGAGGCGAGTTTACCTGTTACTTAACGAATCAGAAGGCAGCAATAGGGTGATAAGGTAATCCATATAGTGAGTAAAAGCCAAATCCAGCAAAGACTGAAACTATGCAAACAATTATTAGCTGCTAAAGTTGTGAGAAGAAGAACACTAAGAACAAAAGATGATCCCTTTGTAGAACAAGAGACCAAAAACTATGGTCTGTGAAATCAGAGTTATATAAATGATGATTCTTCAACACCCCATAACTGCACAATTGTACACAAAAACCCCAACATGTTCCTTCACTCCTACTATCTTCCAATCCAAACTCCCATTATTATCGACCCCCGACCTCGGACACCAAGAGCTAAGCACAATCGATTCGCCTTCCGCCCCTCTTTGCCCGCCTACAACCACCAGCTTTTCCCCACAAGCCTTGAAACCAAGTCCCCATCCATTTGAAGAATCCGCCCTCACCGGAAGTCTCCCCAACACCTTCCACGCGTTCCCCGCTTCCTCATACTTCATAACCATGTTCGTTATATGCTCCACTCCATATAGTTCATTCTCCACCACTGCAACTAGAGGGGGAGCCTGAGCTCCTTGATTCACGTACGGATACATCCCTTCGATTTTCCTCCATTTCCTCTTCTTTAAATCATACTCCTCCCCACATGTTAGTGACACTGTAGGACTTGACATCCCACCAATCACGTAGAATTTCCCGTTCATAAAGAACCCGGAACATGACCGACGTGGGACGTGCATGTTAGGCAACGTTTCCCACCGACCCTTTGAAGAGTTGTATAATTCTGCTGAGTTTAGAACATTTCCCTTTATATCACTCCCACCTGCTACTATGGCTATTGAACCGAGACTGCCAGACCCAAACAAACAACGAGGCTGGTTCATTCCTCGACATTTTACCCAACAATGAGGAAAAAATGCATATTTCCATATAGCAAAATCATAAAACTCTCGACCAAAAACCAATAACTCGCTGCCTACTGCTAAGGACTCTTTATCAGCATGATTGAAACACTCTTCACAAGGCATCTTAGGCAATGCCATCCATTTATTTCTATTGGGATCGAACGCATCCCACTCCTTTAGATCACAAACCAGATACACCCAATACTCCACAATCCCTATCTTCTTCCTCAACTCAGACAATGTACCACTTCTAATCTGCTTGTTAAACCTTGAGCTAACACACGATAGCGAAGCATAATCTGACCTTCGAACGTAAGCAAAGCAATTCATTGCTGCATCATCGTCGAGCATCGGTAGAAGGGAATCATTTGATATGCGCCGACGCTGCAAACCATCAAGCATCAACTCTACTCTTGAATGATAACTTACATCTTCATCCTCCATCTTCTTCGGTGAGGTATTACAACAAACTTTGTTTGTCAAAGTCAGCAAAAAATGATATTATAATTTAAAACAAAAGAATCAATAAGCTGTACCAATAAAGACCACCAATCTTAAAATGTAATATCCAGGCGGCCTCTGATTATCCTCCCAATACCCAGGGAACAAATTCGGACCCTTGAAAGCAGCAATCAATGAACACTTATTTCCTTCTCCCATTAATTTATTGAAACAGAGTGTGAAAATGTGAAGAATCTGTACTCGGAATATTCCATTTACACGAACTTATACCAATTAGAGAAGCCCTCGCAGTCCTCTGCAAACAGATAAAGAAAACGAATACACCCAACATTCAGAATCCCAGTAGTAATCAAATCACCAATAACCTCCACGAACGATCCGAATTTCTTTCCAGCCGCCAAAATAGAACGATCTGGATTTTGGTTTTTTAAAGAGAGATTAGCGAGATAACCCAAACGCAGGATGAAAACAATCGAATAAAGGAAAAAACAGAGAAGCAATCCGTGAAAGATCCCCGAGTTTTAAAACCATACGCATGAGAAGCCTAATGCATGGAAATGGATCGAAATCAACACAAAGAAGGAAACAGGGAAATTAACTAAGCAGATTAAATCAAGAGAATTGAGAAAAGAATCCCAGACCTGAAATTGGGGAAAGTAAGAGGGATCTATTGGTTGGGTTAAGATGGATCTATTAGTTGGGACTCCAATGAGCGGCGGCGGCGGCTGAAACAGTTACCGACGAACATGGTCGGAAGGAAAGTTGGGGAAGACGAAGAAGGAAAAGTGGAGTCAGCCTTTGCGAAAACAGCGGCGGCACCAGATCACATTGGGGGGGCGGCCCCGTGTTGTGTCCATGTGACGTAATTTTTACAATATATATATTTATTTATTATATAATTTATAAAGAGGGGAAAAAAATAAAAAATAAAAAATAAAAAGTAAAAATGGTAAATTATCGCAGATAGCACCGTACTTCTGGGTATTTGTACTTCCGCCCCGCCTTTCTCCATTTTGCACTTTTGGGCCTTTTTCTCCTCTTTCCATATATATTTTTGTTTTTACTTTTAATTAATATATTCTCTAATTTAAAAAATAATAATTAAAATATCTCATAAATTATTGACTTGTTAGATGGTAGGATTTGAAAAGTGTGGTTAGTATATCTATATTAATTAAGAAATAAAATCTCAAAAAATAAGTACAAGAAAAGAAATTGTTCAGACTTTGTAATTGGGCTGGGCCTCTTCTTAATGAAAGTGGGCTCAAAATTGGGCCTAATTGTTTAT